ATGCCTGAATTTCCATTCAATGTCATGCAGATCCCTTGCAATTAATTCTTGGCAAGGTGGTGTCTGTGAGAAATCCTGACTCAGAAGAAAATGAGAATAATATCAGACTCAGAACCAGAGTGGTATTTAAAATACGAGAACAATGGACCAGTTATTACCAGAGGAGGGAAAACTTTCTCTGCAGCACGACGAGGAACAGAAAAGCCACCATGTGTACTGGTATCACTTGCGGTGAGCGTCTTGCAAAAATAATTAGTAGGCTGCCTGCTAGGAATTCCCAACTCAACAGGAAGATATGTATCCTTTTGTTCTTGCTGAAAATGCAACACAGTATTAGTCATCCAATTCACACAACGTATTTTAAAAAACAAGAAAATGAGAATGTCGGGTTATGAAGTACCCGTGTCAAGGGCTGCAGCGTCATTTGAGCATATACTTCATCTGTTTCAACATCTGCCTGAAATTTCAAGAATTGCCAATTCCTCATAAACCAATTACAACTTACTCAGTAACAATTCATAAGAAAACATAGAACGTAAACAATGAACCTACATGCATTGTGACATTGTGAAGTTGACAGATCAACTGGGGCGGCAAGTTCGGGTAATTGGGTATGTGAGCATCAACTTCTTTATTAGTTGTTGCCGCGACCTGGCACTCAATTCCATTAAAACCATCAATAATTGACCAATTAACGAATAGATCACTGCTGCAACAATTAGTGAAACAATTAATGAAGAAGAGAGAATGTGGCAAATGAAGAAGGACCTGTTCACTATGTCCCTGAGGAAAGTAAACCACTCGACTCCCTACCGTTGGTAGGCATACAAGGGGACCAGCACAGGCATGCCATAGCTCTGAATTCAAACACTTCTTCTCTCCTTTTCAGAAGCCACAACCAAATAAAGAATCCATCAACATTAATTTAATTAAGTGAATACAATAACAACAACAACAATAACAACAACAAGTACGTCGGCTATATGAATCCTCATTGACCATGTTACTTCATTTAATTAAGTGAATACATACTTAAATTCTCATGATCTTTTTCTCAATTAGTAGTTTAGCTAAAGACAAAGCATAAGAATAAATTTAAAGGACAAAAATTATGCAGATAAAGACAGTGATAGGTATAAACAAAAAGCCAAACCTGAAAAAGAAGACAGCAAAGGAAGAAAAAGTATTATAGAGAAGAGAAGGAGAAGATACCTTCATGAGGCTGCTGACTCAATCCTGATGTTGAAAGCTTCATATTTTTTAATCACACTTCCCTTTAATTAAATAAGTATATATCTAAAACACCCTCAAAAATATGATTATCAAGAAAATTATATAAGACCCAATTCAAACCCTAAAGTCTCACACCCATTCATCACTCTTATCCTCAACATACCCCACCC